TCTAACTTTTTTCTAAAAAAAATTAAAATGCATTTTTCATAAAAAGTCATAAACTTACTTATGATCATTGATCAATTCACAAACATAAGGCAAAAAGTTCGCTAAGTGTATTATACCAGAACAATCCCGATCTTCCGTTCTTAATATTATATCTTGAACTTCAGCCTCAGTTGGTACGCAACCTGTAATACCCAAAATCAGTATTAACCATTTGATGTTTTTTATTTAAAACATATGTAGACATATAATATATTACCTAGAGCTCTTAATATAGTTCCAATTTCTCTAACGTCAACACTCTTGTTCCCAGCATGATCGAAAACACAAAATGCATCAGCAACACGTCGTTCTAAATCATTGGTGATATCGACTGAAAGAAATGTTTTTCATACTTCAGTAAATCGAAATTAAACATGAAAAGATATGCAAATGTATAAATATATTTAAATATACAGTCATACAACTAATGGTCAAAACATACTGGTACGTTTATTATCTACATACCAATTAACATAAAAGTAATACTATTTTCAAATAAAATATGATATAAAAATAATTTACCACATACCGTGAAACTCTTTTTGAGGTTGCTCGCTTTCCTCCATTATTCACTGTTTTATAATTGAACTGATTTTTTTAACAGTTGTTTGGAAAACATTTGTTAGATCAATAAAAGTATCTGAATATAAATGCCCACGACGCGCGCATCTTTAACATATAAACATTATGGCTTGAAATATTAAGATAATTATTTATTATATAAGTATACCTATATTATCAAATATATTGAGGCAGCAGAAGCGCAGCGTGAGAATTCTTGAGGCCTCCTATAAATATAAATTTGTTTAGTGGGCCCTTGGAGTTAAAATTTCTCAAAAATAAAAATAGAGGTTTGTAGTCCAGAGGGTAATAATTTAAGGCTGATGTCATTTTTAATTACGAATTATACAAAATGGAATAAAAAAACTTGATTCAAAAATTAAAAAATAAAAAGTGGCTAGCCCTTAGCAATGTGATAATTAACATAAATTGTGAAGAAATTTATGGCACGAGAGAATTATATATATATATATATATATATATATATATATATATATATACAGAGCCGGTCCTACATAGAATGCGATGCAAAAATGCGGGCGCACGCTTTAGGGGGCGCCAAAACGAGATTCGGATATGAAATTCATACTATAGTTTTTTCAATTTCATTGAATTTGGGCAATGCTTTTAAAATACGTTAAAAAGTTCACTTTAAAACAAGAGTCTGATACACGATGTGAAAGTAAAGGAATACAATTCGGCCCTTACGATATGAATTAAGAGAAGAGTTTACGATGAAATTTTGGATATTTCAAATATTGAAAATTAAATTTCAAAAATCCAACATGATTCAAGTACCAGTATTGTATTTATTAATGAAAGATTTTTTTGCTCTCTTGGCATTATTATCTCAATAGAATAAATCGCGCGATTTTATCGCGGATATTAATAATATACCCAAAATAAGTAAAATGTTTCAAAACCCAAATATTAATATTATACATGCATTAGAAACAATTGAAAATTTAACTATAGTCGGTGTTGGTATTTTGCCTTGAGGAAAGTTACATGAACTTCCCGATATGTGTAAATAATCGACTTAATCAATGCAAAACTAATAAATTTATGAGTGATTAAAAGTATTCCGAGTGGATTTATTACACATAATTGAAAAAGAACGAACACGTTTCTAAAAACAAATTTTCAAAAATCAATAATTTGTTTTATAATTGAACCAGTTTCCGTAGGACTTTAATGGTTTAGTGTGTTCATTAAGACCAAGTACTCTATCGTTATATCATAAGTAAATCGTCTAATTTTAATTTTAACAAACGTCAAAAAAACTATACTTATTTTCTCAAACTTTGATAAATTTTTAAAATTGCTACTTGTCGTAAGGCCGTAATATTTCAGTAAGTTCTATACGACCATGATATAAATCGCCAAAAAAAGTTCCATAAAAATCGGCTAAATTTTTTTTTCAACAGTTAATTACAAGAAAACGGCTCGGTAGATTTTCACCTAAAACTATATAATCAGTATCATTCCCAACTAATATCTTTCAAACGGTTTTTGAATTTTTAAAATAGATTCAGAATTGCAGTAATTGCATGAAAAAATATTTTTTCACTTTTCTGCGATTTACAAAGAAACGGTTCGGCCGATCGTAGCGCAAAACTGACAAACGATAGTCCTCATCGAGATACATTGAATAGCTTTTAAATTTTTGAAATCGGTCCTGTCGTTTTTGAGAAAACGTCGATTTACGGCAAAAAATCTGTTCACATACACACACACATACTATTTCCAAATTTGGTCTCATTCGATTCAGAATGGCTTGAAACGTCGAGAAAACATAAAATTAGCGAATCGATTTTTTTTATGAAAAAAAAACTTCCCCTTCGGAAAGTTAAAAATACTCTTGCAAACAAATTACAGAACTTACTGAATTTTTTGGATGTCCTAAAAAGTTTGGATGGAAAATAAGAATTTAAAAATAGTTCGGTGGTGTGACAACGAAAGAAGACATGACAATTTGATTATTCGCAACCTGCGAATCGCTATATAATATATATTTTTGTGTGTGTACTTGGAAATTCTTGTAGAACATTTTCAAAAACCATAAATAAATTCATGAATAAAAAAGAATTGAAAAAGTTATATGGTATCATACGTTTCGACATTTTTTGTAACGAGTGGGCCTAGAAAAAAGTAGACTAAAATGAGAAGCAATTCTTGAAGACATACATAAAATGCTTTATTTTGTCCATCACGTGTAAAATCAACTGTGATAAATATATTTTATTTACACTCATTTATTATTACATATGATATTAGTAGAACTTAATCGCCTGTATTAGGCCAAATGTTAAGAACATAAAATTAGTGAACATTTCACATTAGTATTGCACCGAGTAATATTTTAATTAAGACTATGTCATAACACATTGCAATATACAATAAATAATTAATACGCTCTATATAATAATTTTCGGATTAATATAACTATATATATGTATAAGTTATAAGTACACATACAAAAAAGCCCATTTTTCGATGAAGCTGCATATATCGTAATAGTTTAATAGATTAATTTCTAGAATAATTTCAAAATTATTTATATTACTATATATTTATTAATCCTTAAAGCATTGCTCAAATTGCATAAATCAACATAAATATAAGATAATTTAAAAATGATTAAATTATTTTCAAAAGTTAAGGTCTCTAAGACATTTTCAAAATGGACTATTCTCATAAGTACACGATTTAATTCATATTTTGATTAATAATTTTTAATACTACATTGTAAATTACATAATTTTACTAAAATGCATATATTTTAACTGTTAGAAACTAAATTAAAGCAATGAATAAATAATATACGATACAATGTATAATAATACAGTTTAATATTTATTGAAATATCTGTAAATAAATTAATGGCTCTATTTGCTCATTGATATGTTTATAGACAGAATATCTCAGTATATTATTGCAAGACTGATAATTTGTACTGTTGATAAATGTTTTTACTCCTCAAAATTGGGTAATAACCCAACGACACGCTTTTTGAAGAATATTAAAGAAGAAGTATTAAATTTAATCGTATCATAATAAATAAATTTAAATGTTAATACTTATCATCATAATTATTATCTATCTCTTTAATAGAAAAACGCGTTTTGGCAAATTTGGCATATTCATTTACAAATATATGCAAAATGCTGCTAGTGCTAGCATTATCTAATAATTTATAATGATTTTATTTAATAAAGCTCTCTCATCTTTCTCCAATGGCAGACTCAAAATTTATGGGTATCAAAAATTTATCTAACCATAGAAATATGCCAGAGCCTTATAAAAAACATTATTAAACTTATTTATAAATAAAAAATACTATACGTTGTATGGCTGCAATCAAGATCGCGTTCATTCTAGGTCAATATAATATAAATACCATAGTATAAATCTACAAATAACCAATGATAAATGACAAATATTATATTAAGTATCAACTTTAGCCGAATTTCGTATTATATCTTTAATAAAAGAATATTTATAAGACGAGAGCCTTAAGTTTAATCATTTTAATTTTAATTTAAAGAATTGCTTGAAAGCAGTATTTGAAAACCATTATTTATAAAATACTACCTTATTTAATAGACACAAAGATAAACCACAGGAAGCTATCTTAAAGAATTTGTTTAAACATGAAAAAATTATATCAAGAATGTAAAAAATAATTATTATACAAAAATGTGACGTAATTTTTTGTTTAATAATTATTTATTACATTCCTCATAATTAATTCATTTATAACAAATATATATATATATATATATATATATATATAATAATTTTACATCATTAGATTAGTTCTAATTCACAACTAATTTTTTATGTCCCTAAGCGCATGACAGTGTTTCATGATTTTAAATAAATATGAATATTAATTGCGTAAGAACGATTAAAATAACCTCCTAAAAGAGGATCATGTTCTAATATGTCCTTATACAATTTACTTAAGTATTAACAAAGATTTTTGATTCTTTAATTTTCAAATTATATTTGAATATACCTAAAATAAGAAAATTAAAATATTGGCACTACAGTCACCATAATAATTTTGATCTTATATGATTACTCTTGTTAAAATTGTTGAATCTGTTACTAAATTTTAAAAATTAGAATATAATGTTGAACTTTTTGTTAAACCATCAGAATCAATTTTTCAAAACTTTGATCCCAGCTATGGGCGCAACTATTTACATATGTGTTATACTCGACAACTATATTTTATATCAGCAATTATTTTAATTAATTGAAATTATAGTGATGAATATCACTAATGTGATTATTTTAAATTAGTTTTTTGTAAATGTTCACAACACACTAAATACTTCAATATGAATAAGTTAATCCACATATATAAATATATATTTATATACATTGTCCTAAAGTTCACCATAATTATACAAATGTCAATAGTTTAATTAATTATAGTTATAAAATACTACTTACTATAAATCAGTATCTACATTAATACTATCAGAGCAGCCAAATTTCTTTGTGATGCTTTCGCTTACGGACCGTATATCCAGAAGAGCTAATCCGGGCCAACCATCCACTCCTTCTGAGTCACAGTACATACCACTTAGAGAATCCAGGCTGATAGCTCTGGAACTACTTCGAGATGAAATTGAACCATTTTCATGATCTGGGTGATGATATATTGAATTCACATCACTTAGAGCACCTGCAAAAATTAATGGTGCAGATTAATATAATGCCATTCCTGAATTAATGGTACTTGATTAATAATATTTCAATATTATTGTCAGCGTATTATATGATACATAAAAAATGCATAGCTCTCAAAAATAAATTTAATCTCTTGCCTATCCCTCCATCACTCCTCTACTATTACTAATCTTTGAACTGCATCTAATCTTTTATTCCTTGGATAAATTTATGAAATAGCCCTAATTAACTTCCCGTAGGGTAAGCTATAGTATTCACAAAAAAATCGAAAATGAAAATTTTTATATATCTTTACGTTTCAAAGGTTTCTGAATATTTTGCCATACCTTAGAAAAAATGGATGTATGTGTGTATATGCGTGTATGCGGATACAAATTTTCGTCGACAATTTCGAGAACACTAATCAACCGATTTTCAATAATTCAAAAAACATTCAAATCGTATTGATAAGGATTAGTTTTTGGCGAAGGCAGGTCTAGCCGTTCGGAAGATACGGGGCAAAAAAAGCTAAAAACGGTAACTCAGTGTTTAAGAGAACGGAGCGTCCGATTTTAATCATTCAAAAAACATTTTGCTTGTATTGATAAGATGAAGACTTATTAATTTTTTGGAAAAGTAGACCCAGAGTAGGTCTCAATAAAAATAAGTTAAAAATATGTCATTTGGCGGTCAAAAATGTTTATTGGACATATGTACATCAAATTATTTAATATTTTATAGATATTTTGATAATGTACCAGCAATTTGCCTTAAGGCACAATGTTATATTATATATTTACTAATAATATTACCTTCAGCATCAGTGAGACCAGCTTCATTGAGCAAAGATACATTTTCCAAACCCTGCTCATCCGTTGTATAACCATTAGATTCTCTGTCTGGGCATTCTTGTTCATTGTTTGTATTTCCATCCTCATTTTCTTCATCATCTGACCATTCAGAATGACTACAGTCTCTTGTTGAAACCTTCAAAAATAAATACAATGTTAGTATAACAATAAATAAAAACAAGCTGTAAGACTCGAAACTTACTTGTTCCTCTTGATCGCCCTCTGTATTATCCTCAACAGATCCACAAACAGATTCGCTGCCCCTTTTTATTTAACAAGAAACGTCAGTTAGGCCAATAATTATATTTCAAAATAACAATATTTTTACATATCAAACAAAGTTATTTATAATTTTATATTTTAAAAATAAAAAGCATCTCATTTCCTATATGACATTACATCAGCTGCATATAACAAACTCTTACCTAGGTTCTTGACTTCTAGCCAATTCTTGAATAGCTGCCAAACCCACAGAATGTGATACGCCTTCCCCTGCCAACGGCCATTGCCTGCGTTCGAACAAGCGTCGTATTTCTCGTTCAAATTGTCCACTTCCACCTTGTGGATTGCCAACTTGTGTTGTTGTTGATGACTCAGAGACTTGATTTTGTTTACGCTTTCCACTTCCATTGTCATTGATCTTACTGATCAAATCGTTATTGGCCAAATATTCAAAACTTTTGCAACTATAACCTGCTTCCACTTCACATGGTGGAGCTACTGAGCCAGCAGTCGTCGTACTATCTCCACCTGATTAACATTCATATAATATTTGAATAACATTATCAATAGTTATGGTCTTCTACCCCTTCCATATAAAAATTCTCGCAATGTATTGAATAGTTAACACATTAAATCAAAATATTCATGCTTACGACATCTAACTTATCGTACATATTAAAACATCAGAATTACCTGCTGCGATTTGCATAAGTGCGCCAGAAGGTAAAGGCAGTAGCGAAGGCATCCAATTTGGAGGCTCAAGTTTCTCTGATTCAGTTGACCAACCAGTATCTGGCTATAATTTTGTAAAAAACATATATTAATATACGTAAGTTATTTAATTTAGTTCACATATAAATAATAAGAAAAATAAAATAAAATAATTTCTGAAGTATTTAATATCAAAAAGAGCAGTGAGTAAAAACCATTTTACCTTTAACTGTTTATAAGTTTATAAATCAATTTAAGTAAATCTAGTAGAAATCAATTGTTATATTGAGCTTTATTAAAGCATTAAAATATGACCATATTTTTTTAAGCCAGAACCAGGGTAACAATTTATAATTATGCTAATCTGGGACGGGACGAGAAGATTCTTAAGAGGGTCTTCCTATGTGACGGCCTGTTTTTTAAGGATATTTTAGGAGTTTTTTTCTACGACCAGTAAATATTTAGAGCTTCAAGTTTTTTATCATTTATTAACACATATTTGGACATATAAATATAAAATTTCAGCTAAAAATATTCAGTCAAACTAGAGTTACAGCGCTCTGAACACCTCCGCCTCGAAAAAAAGAGCTCCCACTTCCTCCACGATTCCGGCTGATCGGCTTATCCGAAAAAAAATAACAAACGGCGTTTTAATTTGTAGGCTTAAAAGCACGAAATTACCTATAATCAAATGAAAATGAAACTAGTTGGTTTGGTATTTAGCCTTGAGGCAAATTACATGAACTTCCCGATATGTGTAAATAATCGACTTGATCAAAAAAATGTGTAAATAATATACTTCATCAATCCTACTTTAAAAAAAAATGATAATAATTTTAGCAAAGTTTGACGAATTTTTAAAATTAAACTACTTGTTGTAAGGCCGTAGCATTACAGTAAGTTCTATAAGACCATGATGTATATCGCCAAAAAAAGTTCCATGAAAATCGACTTCAATTTTTTTTTCAACAGTTCATTACAAGAAAACGGCTCGGTAGATTTTCACCTAAAATTAATCAGCATCATTCCCAAATGATATCTTTCGAACAGTTTTTGATTTTTTAAAATCGGTTCGGTAGGATGAGCTTAAATGTGGACGAAAATTTAACACTTTTTTTTCAACATTCAATTACAAGAAAACGGCTCGGTAGATTTTCACCTAAAATTAATCAGCATCATTCCCAACTAATATCTTTCGAACAGTTTTTGATTTTTTAAAATCGGTTCGGTAGGATGGGCGTAAATGTGGACGAAAATTTAACACTTTTTTTCAACAGTTAATTGCAAGAAAACGGCTCGGTAGATTTTCACCTAAAACTAATCAGCACCATTCCCAACTAATATCTTTCGAACAGTTTTTGATTTTTTAAAATCGGTTCGGTAGGATGAGCTTAAATGTGGACGAAAATTTAACACTTTTTTTTCAACATTCAATTACAAGAAAACGGCTCGGTAGATTTTCACCTAAAATTAATCAGCATCATTCCCAACTAATATCTTTCGAACAGTTTTTGATTTTTTAAAATCGGTTCGGTAGGATGGGCGTAAATGTGGACGAAAATTTAACACTTTTTTTCAACAGTTAATTGCAAGAAAACGGCTCGGTAGATTTTCACCTAAAACTAATCAGCACCATTCCCAACTAATATCTTTCGAACAGTTTTTGATTTTTTAAAATCGGTTCGGTAGGATGGGCGTAAATGTGGACGAAAATTTAACACTTTTTTTCAACAGTTAATTGCAAGAAAACGGCTCGGTAGATTTTCACCTAAAACTAATCAGCACCATTCTCAACTAATATCTTTCGAACAGTTTTTGATTTTTTAAAATCGGTTCGGTAGGATGGGCGTAAATGTGGACGAAAATTTAACACTTTTTTTCAACAGTTAATTGCAAGAAAACGGCTCGGTAAATTTTCACCTAAAACTAATCAGCACCATTCCCAACTAATATCTTTCGAACAGTTTTTGATTTTTTAAAATCGGTTCGGTAGGATGGGCGTAAATGTGGACGAAAATTTAACACTTTTTTTCAACAGTTAATTGCAAGAAAACGGCTCGGTAGATTTTTACCTAAAACTAATCAGCACCATTCCCAACTAATATCTTTCGAACAGTTTTTGATTTTTTAAAATCGGTTCGGTAGGATGGGCGTAAATGTGGACGAAAAGTTTAACACTTTTTTCCAAATTACAAAGAAACGGTTCGGCCGATCGTCGCACAAAACTGAGAAACGATAATCCTCATCGAGATACATCAAATGCTTTTTAAATATCTGAAATCGGTTCAGGCGTTTTTGAGAAAACGTCGATGAAAATTCTAATTTTGACAAATGCCAAAAAGACCATACTGATTTTTGCAAACTTTGACGAATTTTTAAAGCTGAACCAGTTGTCGTAGGGCCGTAATATTTTAGTATGACCTAGAAAACTATGGTATCTACCGTCAAAAAAAATCATAAAAATCGTCGAAATTTTTTTTAAAAAACTTTTTTACAAGAAAACGGCCCGGCCGATCTTTACCAAAAACTAATCAGCACGATTCCCAACCAATATCTATCGAACGGTTTTTGAATTTTCAGAATCGATTCAGAATTGCGGGCTAAAACGTGGACGAAAAATTTTTCACTTTTCTGCAATTTACAAAGAAACGGCCCGGCCGATCGCCGCACAAAACTCAGAGACGATAGTCTTCATCGAGATACATCAAATGGCTTTTAAATTTTTGAAATCGGTCCAGCCGTTTTGGAGAAAACGTCGATTTACGGCAAAAAATCTGTTCACACACACACACACACACACATACACACACACACACACACACACACACACATACTTTTTCCAAATTTGGTCTCATTCGATTCAGAATGGCTCGAAACGTCGAGAAAACATAAAATTAGCGATTCGGATTTTTTGATGAAAACATAAACTTCTCCTTCGGGAAGTTAAAAAATTGGATTTTTGATAGACATTTGAAATAAAAGTTGCAAATTAGGCGTTTTTTTTGTTTTTTGCTATAAAAAAATCGAAGTTTTGAAAATTTTCGATTGATAATAGTTCATTCCATGCGTTTAAATATATTGAGTGTGCCCTGTAAATTTCAAGTAATTCGATCCAGCCGTTTCTGAGATACAATGGAGGAAAGTTTGAAAAATACAGTTTTGAGAAAAACGCGTTTAAAGTTTCAAGTCCGTTAAAAACTATTCGAACCGCTCTTTCTTTTACTTGCTGTATCTTTAAAACGACTTCGAATTTCCTAAAATCGCTTTACTACCGTATTCTAGACATGTTAAGGGAGCAATTTATGAAAAAAAAAATCGATTTTTTCAACCCATCACATAGGAAGACCCCCTTAAAATAACAAATGCTATTTAAGGATACAATAAAAAATTATTAATATTTACGTATTAGTTTTCAAAAAACCGGGACAAAAGATCTAAATCCGAGACAAATATTGTTTTTAAAAAATCAGGGACACAAGGTGGAAATCCGCGACTGTCCTGGCCAAACCGGGACGTATGGTCAACAATAATAAGTGATATTGGATTTTAAATGGAATAACTATATTAATTAAAAATAAATTCTGTAAGTTAAATTATGTTGACTCAACATAATTTACCTTACAGAAATGTTGACTCAACATAATTTACCTTACAGAAATTGATTTTTAATTAATATAGTTATTCCCTTAAAAATCCAATATCACTTATTTACTTAAATATTTAATGACATTATATATAAGGTTGTTCGGAAAGTCACTTCGTTTTTTTTTAACACCAGAATTTAACTATATTTTTTTGAACCAAACATTGCACTTAAGCCCTATAATTATTATATGATTTGAAAAATTATATTTAATTATATTTAAAGCTTGTGTCTAAAATATTCTAATCAATCACATGCAGTAGTTTTTGGATGATGCCACTTTAAATACGGAAATAATTAAGCAGCATTTTCGACATATTTTACTCTTTTAATATAAAAAAGATAAAATATTGTTTAAGTCAAAATGAAATTAACCGATGTGCACGGAAATGTCGTGTTGATAGTACAACAGTGTCAAAATCGGTATGCTAAATTTTATTCCTGGTATTTTGATATCCAAGATGTACCAAGACCAAGAAGTACGGTTGAAACTGATAAAGATGCGAGAAAGGCGTTGATGCAAACCAGCGAATAACAATACATGATCCCATTGTGTTAAAATTTATCAAATTTAACAGTTTATGACTACTCAAAAGGGTTGCGATTTTCCACGAAACTCAATTTATAGTTCTCATAGAAAGAAACGTGCGTCCGCAATTTTTAATTAATTGGCATCCAAGATTCGCCTTTGAAAGGTCCTAAAAATTATCAGGTCTTGAAGTGAATTATTACTAGAAATATCTAATGGGATGTAAAGAATACAGTACACGTCCATGCCCAATTACCGATGAAACAAAAAAGAAGAACCTACTCAAAACAGGTGCAAAGCTTAAATTTGTCAGAAAAAGGTGATGCACTATGTTTGGTAAGATTTAAAAAAAGTTGTTCATTTTTCTGCTTTTCCCGGATAACAGAACGGTTAATTCGGATGCCTTATGTCTGGATAAAATGAATGATATATTTCAATAGAAAAGGTCAGAATTAACCCACAAAGAAGGTTGTTAAAACCTTGCATCAAAACTACACATGGCCTCACATAAGTTTGGTCGGTCGCCATCATTAGCTTTTGTAGCTTAAATGGGACCCAATGACACATTCATCATATTCTCCAAACCTGCCATCATCGGATCATTATTTGTTCCGGTCACTAAAAAAATTTTTAGGCAATAAACCTTTACCGTAAATCAGCATGTCACAAAGCACTTTGATCAGTTTTTTGCCAATAACGACCAAAAAATTTATGATCTCGGAATTATGCTAATACCAGAAGTATGACAAAAGATGTTCGATCAAAACTGACAAAACATAATTTTTCAAAATATTAGTTTATTGTACCAAAATTACGTGCCAAAATATCTATAAAAAACGAAGTTACTTTCCGAACAATCCAATATAATTTCGGCGCGGACGTTAGACGAAACATATAAAAGTTCATACAACTTTTCTTAATGTAATGCCCGCTCACCAGATCAACCGAAAAATATACCTACATATATTATTTACTTTCTAATTTACTCTTATTTCTGGAGACTTATATTTTTGACCTACCTGAATATCACCAGGATATAACCATTTTTTAACTGGGCTGTCCGGTGCGGTGTTACTGTAACTTTCATCAGAACTGCTTGAACTAGTTGATGTTGCAGACTGCATGTGAGAACTTAATTCATCAACGGATGATCCACGAGTATCTAGCATTGAAGATGGTTCTTCACTTCGACGGATATGGTAAGAAGAAACTAACAAAAAAATTAATTATTAATAAATTATATTATTATAATATTTTACATCATTGTTAGTTACTATGTAATTATAAATATTGTTCGTCCATAATATTATTGAAAATATTACTTGTTTTATGGATCGGATTTCATAAGCAGCTAATTCTTAAGTAAGATAAAAATCTTACTTAAGAACTTCAAATAGAAAATTGTCTTAACATGAAGACTAAATGTTAAGATAAAAACTATAAGTTTAACATCTAATAGTTTTACACATTAAAATATAATATTCAACTAGGTGTGAGTAACATTTTGTCTTGGACTAGTTTAACACAAAAAATAGCATCTACTTATGAAGAAAAGGCCTCAAAAATCTTTACCTAAAACTAAAGTAATCAAACCGAATCGTTTTTTAAATCAGTTCAGGAATTCTGCAGTTTTCTCTCTAAAAACTCTAAAGAAACGGCTCGGCAAATCGTTTCTCAAAACTATCCGTCCTTAATGAGTTTCATCGATTGGCCTTTAATTTTTTTAAATTGGTTCAGCCACTTTTGAAAAAACTTTGACGAAAAGTCAAAATTTGGTTCACACACACACTTTTTCTAATTCGAGTTTCAAATGATTCAGAATGATATCCAGAAAACAAAATTAGTAAGTCAGATTTTTTGGCAAAAACATAAACTTCTCGTGTGGGAAGTTAACTAAACACATGTAAAACTAGTTGGTATTGGTATTTTGCCTTGAAGCAATTTACATGAACTTCCGGATTTGTGTAAATAATCAACTTAATCAATAAAAAATAAATTAATTTTTTTATTTATGAGTGATTAAAAGTATTCCGAGTAGATTTATTACACATAATTGAACGTGAACAAACACGTTAACTCGGAGTATTTTCTAAAAGGAAATTTTCACAAATCAATAATTTTTATAATTGAACCAATTTCCGTAGGACTTTAATCGTTTAGTATGTTCATTAAGACCAAGTATTCTATCGTTATACCAAGTAAACCGTCTAATTTTAATTTTAACAAACATCAAAAAAAAATACTCATTTTCTGAAACTTTGATTAATTTTTAAAATTTAAAACTATTGTCGTAAGGTCGTAATATTTCAGTAAGTTCTATAAGACCATGATATATATCGCCAAAAACAGTTACGTAAAAATCGGCTTAATTTTTTTTTCAACAGTTAATTACAAGAAAACGGCTCGGTAGATTTTCACCTAAAATTAATCAGTATCATTCCCAACTAATATCTTCCACCCAGTTTTTGATTTTTTTAAATCGATTTGGTAGTATGAGCTTAAATGTGGACGAAAAGTTTTTTCCAAAGAACACTTTTTTCCAAATTACAAAAAAACGGCTCGACCGATCGCTGTACGGAACTGAGAAAAGATAATCCACATCAGAATATATCGATTGGCTTTGAAATTTTTGAAATCGGTCCAGACGTTTTTAAAAAAACGTCGATTTACGGCAAAAAATCTGTTCACATACAAACACACACACAAACTTTTTCCAAAATTGATCTCATTCGATTCAGAATGGCTTGAAACGTCGAGAAAACATAAAAATAGCAAATGGGATTTTTTTATGAAAACAAACTTCTCTTTTTTAATTTAATGTCAAAAATAGAAAAAAAAAACGAAAGAAGGAAATATAATACTTGCCATGATCAGGTAGTGGAGGCTTAGGAAGTGGTTTAAGAAATGGCTCCATTTGCGAATGGTTTAAACTACTTTGTACTTGTTGATTTGTTTGGTCGAATATAGTGTGTGTAGAAGGCTCTGGGTGATACACATGTTGGCAGTTCTTTTGCATAGGTAGAACCTAATGGAAAAATGAATATAGTAATATTTTTTAACTTAAATTATATATTATATCAACATCAAATTTAAGATTTTATATATATATATATATATATATATATATATACGAGGTCTGTTCAAAAAGTACCCGGAATTTTCGTTTTTTCAAAAAAATATTTATTTATTCGTCTACATTAATGTGGTCCCCTTCAAAGTAGTCCCCCCCAGATATAATACACTTATGCCAGCGTTTTTTCCAATTTTCGAAGCACCCTTGATATTCACTTTTTGATATGTCCTTGAGCACTCTCAGCGATTTTCTTCAATCGAGGAAAACCGCCGTCCTTTCATGGGTCTCTTCAACTTTGGGAATAGGAAAAAGTCACACGGAGCCATATCTGGTGAATTTTTGCACTTTGCAACACTTTATTTCATTTTTTACGCAAAATTTAATACAAATTCTTTGACTTTTCAATTCTTCCATTGTAAAAATCGCCGAGCTCAGAAAAACAACGTCGAACCTTAGCGACTACCACAGACAAAGTAAACAGTGAATATAGCTGAAAATTTCATCATACTTTAGGGGCATGTATACCAACACAATAAAAAAAAATTTTGACAATCAGACACTCCAGACCCGCGAAATTTAATTATTAGTAATTCCGGGTACTTTTTGAACACACCTCGTATATATATATATATATGCCTAACATCTAAAATAATACTTGCCTTAACTATATGAGGTCCATTGTTTCCACTATAAGGTAAAAGTCTACTGCTTTCTCCCATGTTAGAATTTCCCCGATTTAACATTGAGTGCTGAACATATTTTGCAGGAACACATTGCTCATAACGATGCAGGGGTTGATTCATCATTTGATGGTTTATTATTCTACCAGGTGTCACTCTGCCATAAGTTGCACCTAAAAAATGTGGTTACAAGAATAATATAAAAATGTATAAAATGACTGTGTGCTAGTAAAAATAGTTTAGTAGTTCAGAAAAATTTTAAATACGGATACAAAGGAAACTAGTTGAAAGTAGCATTTTCCCTAAAGGTAAGTTGTATGAATTTCCCAATACGTACACATGATAAACTTCATCAATAAGAATTGGGATTTAGTGTGTGTTTGTGTGTGTGTATGTTTGTATCAGTTTAAGAAATTACAGAACTTCCTGACAACATGGAAAATGTTGATAAAATGCATTCAGTAATATTTTAGAAAGTTGTAAAGTAAGATATGTAACAAATATATTCAGTTTCGTTCTTTACGTACAAAATAATGTTAATCTAATGTTTAATATACCTGTGCTAAACTGATGGTCTTGCCTTTCAACAACAAGGTATGTCATTGTATCCCCCTTTCCTTTAATCTTCACCATTCCTCTACATTTGAAGTTGTAATGTGTATCTCGAATAACATGAGCTACATTTTCAGTAACCTGTGTGAGACCAGCCAAACCTGTTGAGTCCATGTGGTAGGCGATATTAACAGTTTCACCCCATATGTCATATTGAGGTTTATTAGCTCCTATCACACCTGCTATTACTGGACCAATGTTTACACCTAAGAATAATAGTTATAAGTAATAAATGTTAAATAAAAAGTCTGCTTCATATTCACCTAATAATATTAACATTTCATAAAATTATTGAAAATTATAATTACCTGCTCTTAACATAAAATTTCTATATGTAGATGTATTAAATGTGAGAAGCCGAGCATGCATAGCTTGCGTAAAATCGAGAAGAATAGTAATAAATTTTCTTATTGAATTATTATCTCCATGATTAATCTTATGTTCTGGACTCAATCCCACAGCAGCCATGTATGTGGACCCAAAACATTTGATCTTATCAATTGCTCCAAAACAATCTTCTTGCAACAGCTAAAATGATCATAAAAATTATAAGTGATGAAAGTAAATATTACATAAATAACTATTCAGAATAATACACACACACAAATATATATTTTATAACAAACCTTATCAAAATCGCATATGATTTCATTTAATTGGCGCAAACAATCTAGACCATTGGTGCTGCTTTCCATATCAGTGCAGAACTCATGGTAATCTGTCACTGTTGCAAAAAGTACTCCAACATAAGCATAGCTTTCGCAATAGAGATCCTGCACAATAAATAAAATATTATAGCAAATTATCATGAAAGTTTTTAGAAGCGGCTGAACTGTACTTCAAAGGCATTGTAGATGGTTTTAAAATGTAATTCATCACTATTGAATGTAAATAAAACAATTATCAAAACAAAATTTTATATTGTTTATATAATATAAAACAATATTATATTGCTTTTTGGTTAAAACCAAAAAATGGGTTGAGTCCATATACATCAAACAAAATCTTACTGTGCTTCCTGGTCTTCTTTGTTTCTCTAAATAGAATTGTGTCACATGCTGAGGTAAGAGATCATGCAATAGTCTAACACCAGACTGTTGTAAAACATTGGCCTCATGTCTTGCACGATTTGCCTCATTTTTTCTCAAGTAACACAGTCTCATAACTCTCTCTAAACATCTTCCATGAAGACCAGAAGCAACCAAAAACATCAATAATTGTACCAGACTTGAAGTATGAGCTGGAACTAATGATCTGCAAAATAAGAAATTATGTATGAAACTTGTCTAAATAAAAATATGTAGAAATGTCTCTGATAAGTAATAATCAAATTTGGAATAACAAAAGCTTAATTATGTTCACATAAGCAAGTATTTGCATATGTAAATTAGGGTTTAAGTTTTTGTTATTCAAAATATCAACAAATATCAAGTCAATCTCTTTAAAAATACTTTCAATTAAAGTACTTTCTTTAATATTCATCCCTCTTCACTAATTAATTACAATAATTAGATCAGAGTAGTTAATTTATTAGATTATTAATTTAGAAACATTATTTATTTGATAAAAAAATAGTATCAAAAAGAATTATATTCTCAGAAATCCAAATTTAATGTCTGAGTAATATAAATTATTGATAGAACTATCATCATGTTAACATAATATACAATGACTCACCTGACTATCGAATCATAACAATGGAATAGATCAATATGAGAGAGCTGGACAAACAATGTATAACAAATCATGATGAAGATCAAAATAGATAATTTTGCCCATAGTAATAATTTAAAAAATACAGCTACGGCTAACCCTGATAGAATGCCTCCAAGGGGTACATATATAGGGACTGGGCAAGACAAATGATCATTAACTGAATGTGCCTGAGATATTTCACATGAAGGATTGGGCAAACAAGTGAACTGAAAAATAAAATTAATTATATAATAAAAAATTATACATCAACTTTCCATATAGTAGAATGAAAGTAGGTAATAAAATGCTATTTAAACACACAAAGGATTAAGATCCAAAAAATAAGAAAAACATTCAATTTATTATTGTGATGATTACCAATCGCTAACATTATTTTAACATTTAATCAGGTATACAGACAAAGTATGTTTTTTTAACAATATAGATATAAACTGATTTCAATATAAAATCATAAATGAATAATGTACTCACCACATTCAAAATTGATACTGAGAAAACAAGTAAAACAGTAAAAATTGTCAACGCTAGTCTTAAAGTAAAACTTTTAGTAACATCCCAGAATATCCATTGTAACCTTGCTGCTAGTAATAACATCAGTAATGAAGTGACCCAGGCAAAGGCCGTTAAGAAAAGCAGTAGTAAAAATAAAGTTCTAGGTAGCATAAGGCCTTGGATTCCTGCACCACAAACAACCAATATCAAGCAACACCAAAGAGATGCAGCAAATTCTGGGTCACATTCATGACGATACTGGAAAGTTACCAATGAATAAGTATAATAATTCTTTCTTATTGAAACATATTTTACAAATAAGCATGTGTAATTTATTAAAAATTATAAATACCATGGCTTCATTCTGCTTATCTCGAAGACATAAAGTCAGATATCCTATCTGAGCATCGTTTTCTAAATCCAAGTATTGAGCTTCTATGGCTGTTGCTAGATTTCTATCAATGCGGTTGCTTGTATGCAGATTTCTTAGAACATTGCAAGATCTTTTCTTGAAAGGTCTTAGATTTGAAACACCAGTAACCTAAAAACATATATTCTAAATTAAATTTTATTCCAAAAAAAATAATTCCTGTTTTCTTCAAATAAAAATTCAATAATGGGAATGTGAAAATATGCAGAGTAAAAATTTTGAAAAAAATTATTTATGTTCATATTAAATCATCAAAATTTACTATCAAATAAATTAAATTACCAACATTTGAAATATTTTGTTTTAAGTTTTTTTCCATCTTTCTTATTAAGGCAACTTTTAAAAAAAATGTTGAAGCTCAAATTTTATTTCAGTGAGTTAAACCTATTTCATATTCCTTGTAATTATTCTCATTTAATTAGTCATAATTAAAATCTTGCAACGGTTTGAAATAATAGGATTATGTATCATTCAAAATCATGAATTATAAATACTTTAAAGAAATATATCTATAGGATTATCAGATCAGACTGATTAAAAATTAGTGTCCATAGCAGTATAATATTTTCAAGTTAGTATTAATTTCCAAAATTATTTTATGCTAACATACTTTAGAAGCTGAAGAATCAGCATCAACTCTTGGTGCATTAGCACTCTCATTTTCACCGATGAAAGCAAATGGAATTTCCGCTCCAAATTTTATGTTGTGCAGTATTGATTTATACTCGCAACTTTTCTAATAGATAATTCGTGTTTTTGCAGCGTACCCAGTGGTGCATTCATTTCCAAAGTGCATAATGCGAGCGCCTATAATAAAAATTAGTAAATTAGAAAACAAGTTAGTAATGTATGGCGTTATGCCTTTAGCAAATTATTTGAACTTTATAGATGAACGAAAAAGTAATATTTTTTTAATCTTTAGAACTTCAAACAAAATATTCTGCACACCAGTAACTGCGTTAAATGATAATGTTGCAAATAGGGGATAATTGTTTATCAATGTCAAAGACACAAATGCTTTGAAATATCATTTGTCTCGCCACTAGGATAAACTTAAATTTTACCTAATTGTATTTGTATAAAATATTTTAAATTATTTATGATAGTAGTTAATTCAATCTTGAAGCATTTTGCTGCAACATACGGAAATAGTATGTTATATGTGTGCAGGAATAAGAACATTGTATTTATATATGTATATAAAACTAAAATATATGTATATAAAAAGATGTTATATGTATATTTGCATATACCAGACATATGCTGATTTATATAATCAACATATTAAGTGAAACAAAGTACCTTTGTATAGTTTTTTTAATAAATTAAAACAAACTCACTTTTCTTCTGCGTGGTGGTGGGACAATATAATATGTCCCTCCTGGTGCATCTGTTACGTCATACTCGCCCGTCACGCATCAATGGTGGCTCTGGACACGTGAACTTTACCAGCGTCTCCTGACATTTGCAATCTTCTAGCCAT